ATAAATTATGTTGATAGTATGTGCCACTCTAGATAGAAAGTGGCACTCTAACTGTGATGTTGCTTCCCAAAGCACATATTCTCATTCTAATCATGAAGAAAACATCAAATTCCAGTAGAAGGCATTCTGTGAAATTAAACCTGACCAATACTCCAAACTGTCAAGGTCATCAAAAGCAAAGGAAAGTCTGAGAAATTTTCACTGCCAAGAGGAGCCCACAGAGACATGACAACACGATGTAATGTATAATGAGTGTCCTGAGACAGAAACTAGGGTGGGAGGAGGGGTGAAATAGGGAAATCTATAGTACGAATGCTGGAAGCACTAAGGGCCTCTATGAGGTTAATGATGCCAGTCCACAGGGATCTATTTCTTCTGCTGTCCTTAGCTGTGGAGGTACAAGCAAAGAGCAGGCAAAGTTGGATATGTAGCAAAGTGATTGCTATGAAGTGCAAGAGGGTCAAAGTGATTATATGGAAGGAATGATGAACAACTGGAGATCAATGGGATTTATTTAAGTTTAGTGGAGTCAAAGGATCGCGGTGTTGGGGGTGTTCACAATGCAGAAGGTAGGAGGTGGACAGCAATAGTGATTTCAGAGTTGCAGTCATGGGTACTGATGAGGCACAGGCTGTGACCATGAGCTTGTGTGACCAAGGGAGGCCAAAGCACAAAAGCATGGGAGAAGAGGAGGTCAAGGAACTGTTACTGGCATCTCTGTAGCTACTGAAATCGCTCTGAATTATGAGCAGTGTTAGAGATGATAACAGTGTTTGGTAGATACTTGAAACAAAGTAAAGTAGATGTGAGTTTGAAAGCCTGGGACTTCCAGAAGAGGGAGGTAGATATCTCTGGCAATGAGGAACCACCAGGACACTCCTTCTCTAGGTACAGTGGTACAAAGGGCTAAGAGGGACTGGCCTACTCCTAGAGAGCACTGTGGATGAGGCAGTTCATCAGGGGAGAACGGTTCATAAACGGAGGGGCAGTGGTGGATGAAGAAGTGAAGGTGGAAAGGGGAGCATGCAGAGCCAAGTGGGCATGAGAGTACAGAAGCTGCGGGAACAAGCAGTCCCGGTCTCCTTGTAATCACTAGCATAAATGCAGATACAGAGGGTAATAAGAGTTATTTCAAGGTAGAAAAATGGCTGTTAAGCGTTTGGAGAGAAGGCATACTTGACAGGAGTGCTTGTTTTTATGGGCTTCCCTCTTAACCCCTTCTGATGGAGTATGGGGCTTAGCAGTCTGAGGATCTTCACTTGAATTGCTATCTCAAGTAATTTCTTAGCATGGCATTTGTAAATGAAAATTTTATCACATAAAGAGAAGTGAGCTCAGGTGGCAAAGAAATGGGCACACTCATGTCCTGATTTTTTGAGTGTCAGTATCCTTTTTTATGGCATTTTGGTGATACAGCAGAAACGTGAAATAATTCAGGAAAAAATTTAGGTGACCTTGGGTTTGGCAGTGTTTTTAGATAAAACATCAAAAAGCATGATCCATAAAAGAATAAATTGGACTTGATTAAAGTTAGAATCATCCTTTCTGACAAAAACACTATTAAGAGAATGAAAAGATAAGTCACTCGCTGGGAGAAATAATTTCCAGAACACCCATTAGATGATCAGATGTTGTCCAAAATATATAAAGAACTCTTCAAACTTCAACAATGAGAAAATAAACAACCTAATGCAAAAATGGACAAAACATCTCCACAGACAGCTAAAGAAGATACACAGTTGGCAAATAAGCATTTAATAAGATGTTCAACATCTTGTTTATTAGGGAACTGCAAAATTAAAACAACACAAATATATATACCTATTAGAATGGCCTTAAATTTTTTTTTTTTTTAATGATGATACCAAATGCTGATGAGAATGTGGAGCAGTAACTTTCTTTTGTTGCTGGTGGAAATTGAAAATGATACAACCACTTTAGAAGACATGATTTCATCTATAGAGTTAAAAAGATCAGTGGTTGCCAGGTGTTTGCAGAGATGGGATGGGGAAGAAGAATGGGTGGAGCACAAGAGATTATTAGGACAGTGAAATTTTTCTGTAGGATACTATAATGTCAGAAACATGACCATGTGCATTTGTCAAAATCCATACAACTATGCACCGCAAAGAGTGGACCCCAGTGTAAGTCATAGACTTTCATTTAGTGAAAATATATCAGTAGTGGTTCTTCACTTGTAACAAGTGTATTAATGTAATTAATTAATTACTTTGTTGAGTGATTGATGTAATTAATTGATTGTATTAATGTAAGGAACCATCCCCATTATCAACATCCCTCACCAGAGGGTACATTCCACAATCCATGAACCTACATTAGCACCTCGTTATCACCCAGAGTCCATAACATTAGGGTGCACACTTGGTGTGCAATTTTATGGGCTTGGACAGATGTATAATGAAATAGTAACATATGTCCATCACCAACATAGTATTTTCACTGCCCTAAAAATCGTCTATATTCTGCCTGTTTCAATAGCTTTATAGATACAGCTGGTTTAAAAAAAAAGTTTTCAGACTTCAACCTCTACATTACAAAGCTGTAATCATCAAGACAGTATGGTACTGGAACAAAAACAGACACTCAGATCAATGGAATAGAATAGAATGGACCCACAAACGTGTGGCCAACTAATCTTTGACAAAGGAAAGAATATCCAATGGAATAAAAGACAGTCTCTTCAGCAAGTGGTGCTGGGAAAACAGGACAGCGACATGCTGAAGAATGAACCTGGACCACTTTCTTACACCAGACACAAAAATAAACTCAAAATGGATGAAAGACTTAAATGTAAGACAGGAAGCCATCAAAATCCTCGAGGAGAAAGCAGACAAAAGCCTCTTTGACCTTGGCCTCAGCAACTTCTTACTCAACATGTCTCCGGACGCAAGGGGAACAAAAGCGAAAATGAACTGTTGCAACCTCATCAAAATAAGCTTCTGCACAGTGAAGGAAACAATCAGCAAAACTGAAAGACAACCTACCAAATGGGAGAAGATATTTGCAAATGACATATCAGATAAAGGGTTAGTATCCAAAATCTATCAAACTCAACATGCAAACAACAAATAATCCAGTGAAGAAATGGGCAAAAGACACGAACAGACACTTCTCCAAAGAAGACATCCAGATGGCCAACTGACACATGAAAAGATGCTCAACATCACTCATCATCAGGGAAATACAAATCAAAACCACAATGAGATTATCGCCTCACCCCTGTCAGAATGGCTAACATAAACAACTCAGGCAAAAACAGATGTTGGCAAGGATGTAGAGAAAGAGGATCTCTTTTGCACTGTTCGTGGGAATGCAATTGGTGCAGCCACTCTGGAACAGTATGGAGGTTCCTCAGAAAATTCAAAATAGAACTACCCTATGACCCAGCAATTGCACTACTAGGTATTTATCCAAGGGATACAGGTAGACTGTTTCAAAGGGGCACATGCACCCCCATGTTTATAGCAGCACTATCAACAATAGCCAAAGTATGGAAAGAGCCCAAATGTCCATCGATGGATGAATGGATAAAGAAGATGAGGGGTGTGTGTGTGTGTGTGTGTGTGTGTGTGTGTACGTACAATGGAGTATTACTCAGCAATCAAAAAGAATAAAATCTTGCCATTTGCAACTGTGTGGATGGAACTAGAGGGTATTATGCTAAGAGAAATTAGAGAAAGACAATATCATATGACTTCATTCATATGAGGACTTTAAGATACAAAACCGGTGAACATAAGGGAAGTAAAAATAATATAAAAACAGGGAGGGGGACAAAATATAAGAGACTCTTAAATATGGAGAACAAACAGGATTACTGGAGGGGTTTGGGAGAGGGGATGGGCTAAACGGGTAAGGGGTATTAAGGAATCTACTCCTGAAATCATTGTTGCACTATATGCTAACTAACTTGGATGTAAATTTTAAAAAATAAGTAAAAATAATAAATAAATAAATAAATAATAAACTGAAACAAAGTTTCAAGAAATCCTGTTTTGAAATCTGATGTGACTTGAGAAAAAAAAGCTTGAGAAAGGTAAATGGATGCTATATGTTGATATTGGAATTGTGCTCATTTTTCTTTCTACCCTTATGTATTATAGTTCTTTTATCAATATGTATTACATTTAGTATAACCCCTCTCCAAAAAGATGAAGCTAATTTTTGAAAAAGAAATTAGGAGGGACACTGGAGTGGCTCAGTCACTTAAGCATCCAACTTCGGCTCAGGTCATGATCTCACAGTTCGTGAGTTCAAGCCCCACATCGGGCTCTGTGCCAGCCCAGAGTCTGGAGCCTGCTTTGGATTCTGTGTCTCATTCTCTCTCTTCCCCTCCCCCACTTGTGCTCTGTCTCTCAAAAATAAATAAACTTTTTAAAAAAATGTGAAAAAGAAATGAGAATACAACATCTAAAAATAAAGGGAAGGGGCGCCTGAGTGGCTCAATTGGTTTAGCGTCTCATATGAGATCGAGCACCTTGTCAGACTCTGCACAGGGTGTGGAGCCTGCATGGGATTATCTCTCTTTCTCTCTCTGCTGCTCCCCGTGTGTGCTCTGTCAAAATAAATAAATAGACATTTAAAAATAATAAAAGCTAAGGGAGAATATATGAAACAAATAGGCAGAAATAATACTAAACCTTAATTTAGTGTTTCTGGTGATTGTCTTCCCCCCACCCCCTCCCCAAGAGACCACACAGGGGAGGGTCAGAGAGAGAGAGAGAGAAAACAGAATTCCTAGCAGGGTCCCAGCTGTCAACACAGAGCCAGCCCTACATGGGGCTCGAATTCACGAACCCTGAAATTATGACCTGAACCAAAATCAAGAGTCAGACGCTCAACTGCCTGAGCCACCCAGGCACCCCAATAAATAAATCTTTAAAAAAAAATTTAAGCAAAAGATCCATAAACTTTTAAAAAGTGGTGTCTCACTTTGTTGCGCTACCTTAAGTATGTCAAAAATGTTCTTCTGTTTTTAGGCCTTGTACCTGATAGCAACTAATGGAACCCCAGAACTTCAGAATCCAGAGAAACTTTCCCCAATATTTCGGGATTTCTTAAACCGTTGTTTAGAAATGGATGTGGAGAAAAGGGGTTCGGCCAAAGAATTGTTACAGGTGAATTTGGAAATAATACTATTTTTGGATAAAGTTGACTTTTTTGAGTAAACAACAGAAAGTTTACATAGGGTTAATAATTACCATTTTGCTCTTCATTTATCACCAGCAACATTGTAGCTGCTGCAGTTTAGGATTGTATCTGCTAGGAATAAAATAGCTATAACACTAAAATTAGGTATATGAGTTTTTGCATGTTGTCAGTTGTCAGACAAGTCCATTGCTGGTGTGGGTATCTGGGTCATTTAGGTGAGCTTTTATAATATTAAATAGACTAAAAAGACTGATTTCAACTATAAAAGTGATATATTGATTATGTTGACTTTATACACATACTGAAATATGTGTTTGTTAAATAAATTTTAATCCATAAAATAGTCTTTGGGGTTTAATTGAAAGGAAATTTTTAGCTTCTAAACTAGTGACATTCATGCATCTTTCCCCCTCTTTCTGGCAGCATCCCTTCCTGAAACTGGCCAAACCATTGTCCAGCTTGACGCCACTGATCATGGCAGCTAAAGAAGCAATGAAGAGTAACCGTTAGCATCATTGCCGTGGCCTCGTATTCTTTCTTCCATTTTCTAAAAGAAATCTTTTAATATATGAAAATTATTACTCTTTGGGGCTTAAAGAAATGGTCTGTATAACATGGAGGAAAAAGCAAACTACTGCTTCCTGAAGACAACCAAGAGAAAATTACAAAACGGAATGAAAACTTTCCATTGAATCCCTTCTTTATAGGGTCCAAAAGGAATTATGGACTGAATCACTAGCCATCTTTCAGCAGACAGCCCATCAGGGCCATTTATCATGCTTGAGATTTGCATTTAATTTTGCTGATTTCACTGTAATGGATCCCATTCATTGTCCCTTTTGGGGGGGGGGGGGGGTATTTTCAATACTTGAATGGCAGATTCGAGTTTTTCAAGAGTATTTGTTTCATCTGCTAGTCTTTTCTCTCCATAGCCTTTTTTCCCCTTGACATGCTCTTTTTGAGTTGCTTTGAGAAATTTTTCTCAAGCCTAAATTTGAGGCAAATGTAATAAAATTATGTAGTTCCTTATATTGGCAAAGGAGCTCAAAATCGTTTAGCTTTGTATAGAAGTTAGGGCCAGCTATTATTACATGTAGTATTTCAGTTCATAATTTGAACTGAAGGAAGGGAAGAAAAATATGTGATTTTTACCTTTTTTAATAATGTGAAAGTCAATTTTAGAAATTTCATGGTAGTGAGTTGTTTGGCATTTGTTACATGTATAATAGAGAGACTAATAATCTATATTTATAACTAAATCATTGAGACAGAAAAAGAATCCCATTGACTATACAACCTTACAATTTAATTTCCTTTCTAAGTGTATCCTCTGCAGATTGGGCTTTAGGAACCAAAGTTATTTGCTCTTTCTTGTTCCAACTTGGGCTTTGTGACTGGTTGGTATTGCTACTTTGCCCTTCCCCCTTTTTTCCCTTCATTTTGGAAATAAGTTTCTGTATATGTTGTAATTTTAGTTAGTTTGTTTTTTAATTAACCCTCGCACCCTACTCCACCCCTCTCCCTTTGGTAAATAATATAATAACCATTGAATTTTCAGAATTTAAAAGTTAATTTTTTTCCCATTTAAAGAAGAAAAATACTCGGAGCTAGCAGAAACAAAGCGAGAGACTAGAACTCTAAAATAATTAGGTAAGATTATATTCATGTAAGAGAAATGACGGTTACATAGAGATGCCGCTTCTGACCAGTAAACTGTGGAGATTTGTTATAAACATTGTTCCCAACCCAGTACCAACATTTTACTAGCAATGAGAACTTAACATGACAAAGTTCTTGATAAATTCATTGATAATTTGAGATGTTGAGTTACTCTAGATTTTTTTCAAAAAAAATAATGTGTAAAAAAAAAACTAGAGAAAGGAAGAAAAATGAAATATCCTTGTTGATAGCAATACTTTTTTTATTTTAAAAATTTTAAGAAGGTCTGTGACCTGTAGCATTACTTATGAGAGTGCCCTCTCTTCTCCCCTCCCCGTTCTCTCCTTATTTTTTATTTTCTTATGGAAGCAGTGTCGTCCCTCAAGCCACATTAAAGAAAACAATCTGGTTTGGTTCAGGCATTTTGTTCCCACCACCACTCTTAATTAACTTCCCACCTACTTGCCGTCAGTAGTACAAATCATGAATAAAAATAATTTTGAGTACATTAAGGGAACTAATAGAATTTTATGTCCTATCATTTTCATCACATCTATGTTAAGATATGAGGATAGAATGGCTGTTTTTTATTGATAACGCAAGGTTTTCACAAAATGTGTAAAATAATTAGTGGAACTTTAACATAGAGCACTTAATGATTTCTGTTTTCAGTTTGATTTTTTTTTAATTAAAAAGTTTTTTTTAATGTTTATTTTTGAGAGAGAGACAGACAGAGTGAGCAGGGGAGGGGCAGACAGAGAGAGGGAGACACAGAATCTGAAGCAGGCTCCAGGGTCTGAGCTGTCAGCACAGGGCCTGACGTGGGGCTTGAACTCAAAAATGTGAGATCATGACCTAAGCCGAAGTCGGGCACTTAGACCGACTGAGCCACCCGGGCGCCCCCCAGTTTGATTCCTGATTTCATTTTTCTTTGGATTATATTGACCACCTACAGCTATTACTAAATTACCTTACAGAAACAAGCTGGTTTATTTCTGATGAAAATCTACAGTGCCTCTGGAGTTTCAGATTCGAACATTCTGTGTAAATAGTTGTTTGGATGGATTACAATAAAGAAGATGCTACCAATGAAATAGAAAACCAACTAGATGTTAAGACTGATCCTCATGACCACTCTAGAAGGCCCTTCCATACATATGTCATAAAGACCATATTCCTTCAATTTAGTGCCAATGCCCCATTTTTATGCCTGTGACTCAACAAAGGTCTTTTCAATTTATAGAAGCAGTCTGGGATTTGTATTTACAACTTCTTTGAGGGTTACCTGCATGTCCATTGCTGGCAACGGACTTTGTCATTAAAACCTGACTCCTAGGTTAAGGGAGCTACACTGTGGTTTATTCTTTACTTACTTGGATAAACTAACTTGTAATAGAAATATACTTTGGTTAATTCTGAAATGTGTCATTTTTAAACAACGTAATCCTAAAAGCAATATGGAATTGTGATTTATTAGTTAATTTTAAATTAAAATGTTCAGATCTTGTTGAAAGAAAAATTATATCTGAATCAGTTCATGTTTTTTTTAATAACTACCTTTTGTAGTCACCCTTTTTGTCCTCACTTTAGAATGAAGATTCCCATTTAAATCTAAAAGTTACCTTAGTTGTCCTCTTGTGTTATTAAAACAATGTTACTATAGTACTTATTTATTATATTTCAGATTTTCTGGTGGTCTTAAAGTTTCCTTCTCCTCTTGTTCCTTTTGCTGCTTTAAAGGGACAGTTAAAACCGGGAAACCATGAAAATATTGAATTTTTTAAACAGAGTGGTTGTGATAGCGTAAGAAACCAAAGCTAACACAACTGTCTTCGTGTGTTGAGTGCCTGGCACATAGAATAAATTCTCTTCCCTTCTACACATAAACATTAAGCTGCTTAATAATATGTATCTAGTTACCACCAGTCCTAAATGAAACTGTGCCTTTCATAAGCAATTTAAAACTACCTATATGAGTATTTCTTTATAGGGCTCACATAAATACATGTCTGTTTCTATATGCTGTATTCTAGCCAGAACAATTTTAGATCTGATTGGGCTGTAGGTATAGTTAGAAAAAAATGAGAATTTGCATCAGTTTTCTTAATTTAAAAACTTTAAATATAGTGAGATCCATATCCAGTGAAATGTCAAAAAATCATTATAGAATTATAGCTAAAATCCAGATTCATATTCCTTTTGGGTTTTTTATAGTAGAATTTCATAGTTAAGTAAAGTGAAGATTGTCTTCGGTGTTTCCATTGCTTCCACAATACATAAGCTAAACAATTAAAATTCGTTTTCCCTCAGTGTATGTATGTGTGTGTGTGTGTGTGTGTGTGTGTGTAAGAAAACACACACACACACACACACACACGTACTTTTTTTTTTTTTTTTTAATCACTCAACACATTTACTGACCACTTTGGCAAAGACACTGTGGTATATATTGTGGGAATTACAAAGGAGAATCAAGCACTGGACTGGCCTGGAGAGAGTTGAAGTCCTTTTACTCACCATTCTGGAATGTTGCCAAATGAAAGGGAGAAAGAAATGTATTATTCTGTCAAATTTTCGTTCTGTATTAAGAAAAGCAAAGGATTATATTTGGAATTGGATGTCTTTGATAGGAATGTGTTGCCTTTCCCCCCACCCCTTATTTTGATAGATAGAAATGGAATTCAGTGAAAGGAGCTTGTCTTTTCTGTTTTGTCTTCAAATTTTATATTGACTTTTATTTTTAATTTAATCCCGTTCAATTATTTAATTGTTACATTGACATTAACTGCTGTATTTGATGACTTTGTTCAATAATTTTGTTCTTTCAGGGCTAGAAATAAACATTTTTTTTTATGTTCATTTTCCCCTTTCCTAAACTTCAGTTCTTTCTTTAGATCAGAATAGTTTAAAAGAATAATAGATTTTCAAAAAGCATTCTGATATTTTTAAGGATAAGTGTTTTTTAAACATGGCACCATTCAGAATGTATTACAGAGCTCCCAATTAGAAAAGTTTCCGGAAATGTATGGCTAGTAAGCATGAACCTTCTCTCTTTTAAGTCAGGTTTAGGATACGTTTCTTTTTAAGTTTGTTTATATTGACAGAGAGCAGAAGAAGGACAGGGAGAGAACAAGCAGGCTCTGCTCTGTGAGCACAGAGCCCAACATGGGGCTCGAACTTATAAACCGTGAGATCATGACCTGAGCTAAAACCAAGAGTTGGATGCTCAACTGACTGAGCCACCCAGGAGCCACTAGAATACATTTCTTGTAAGTGTTCAGGCTCTCAAACCCAGGGAAACATTTCTTACCCATCTTATTCTATAACTTGGCCTGAAATTCAAATGCTTACCTCACTGAAGTAATAATATTACCAGCATTTCTGTGTTAAATACACCAAGAGATCTTTTTTTATATATAAGTTTATTATTTTGAGAGAGCACATGTGCTCACGTGGGCGGGGAGGAAGGAGCAGAGAGAGAGGGAGAAAGAGAATCCCAAGGAGGCTCTGTGCTGTCAGTGCAGAACCCAACTGGGGCATGATCTCACTAAGTGCAAGATCATGACCTGCGCCAAAATTAAGAGTCAGATGCTTAACCAACTGAGCCACTCAGGTGCCCCATTTTTTAGCATAGGGTGGGATATAGGTAATGACTGCTTAAAATATATTTGTTATGGGGCATCTGGGTGGCTCAGCTGGTTAAACATCTGGCCCTTGATCTCAGCTCAGGTCTTGACCTCAGGGTCATGAGTTCAAGCCCCACATTGGGCTCTGCACTGGGTGTAAAGCCTACTTAAAAAAAAAATTTATATATATATATACACACACATACATACATACACACACACACATATTACACTATAAAGCTGTTTAGTGCTATTCTAACATTTGTATATCTTTTAGCAAATGTTTAAAACATTTGCCTAAGAAAGGTTCAGAAATGCCTGGATGACTTAAAAAGCACTATTCTTAGGAGGGGCATGTGGGTAACTCAGTCGGTTTAGCGTCACAATCTCACGGTTTGTGAGTTCGAGCCCCGTATTGGACTCTGGGCTCGGAGCCTGGAGCCTGCTTTAGATTTTGTGTCTCCCTCTCTCTTTCTCTCTGCTCCAATCCCGCTCGTGTTCTATCTCTCTCTCTAAAAAGTAAACATTAAAAAAAATTTTTTTTAATGAAAACAAAACACTATTTGTAAAAGTTTCATGCTTTACTACTACCTTGATACTTTTGATATTTGGCTTTTTTAATTAGAGAGTTATTTTTTTATGCTAAATGTTTCATCTTTCAAAAGGAGAACATGAAATGTCTTTTTAGGCCTAATTATTCTAGGTTTTTAACAAAGCAATGTACATAGATTAAAAATCCAAATAAGGGAGTTGTAATAAATAGTACCAGTCCCCAGCTTTAAACTCCCCACGGCCAAGTCCAGCTCCATGAGAATTCCACTTTTAACTCTGAGCTGTTTGTAGCAAGCATTAATCTTCACATTTTTAAATTATATACTTCTGCAAGTATTTCTTGACATTTCTATATTTTACTTTAGCAACTTATTAACGCAGTTGAGAATTTGGGTACTGTCATACCAACTTACTGTCCCATTTCACTGCATCTAGTCTCCCATTTAAGAGAGGTAGCAATTTTCTCTTAAGTTTATTTATTTCTGAGAGAGAGAGAAAGCATGAGCAGGGAAGGGACAAAGAAAGAAGGGAGAGACAAAATCCCAAGCAGGGATTGTCAGCACAGAGCCCGACTCAGGGCTCTGTCTCTCAACCCTTGAAATCATGACCTGAGTTGAAATCAAGAGTCATACTTGACCAACTGAACCACTCAGGCACCCCAAGAGGTAGCAATTTTTGTTTATTGGAGTAGCAGTCAGTTTTTACCTTAGGACTATGTGGGAATGTTGTTCACTTAAGTAATTTATTATCACATACCATTTATTGTACAACTCTTTGCTTTTCCTGTTGTTCATTTTCTTGTCTTACTGTGTCCTTTGAAAGTTTCTTGTGTTCCTATTAACTAAGTTATCCCAAACTCGCCACAAAATTGCAAAAGCCCCCTGAAGACTATTTTCTGTGCAATTAGGCATCTCAGGTAATGACAGTTCCTTTTTCTTTCCTGGAACTTGAACTTGCATGTCTGAAAATGTTTCACATTTAATTGATATACAGAATTTTAGGTTAGAAATCCTCTTCCTTGAGAATTTTGAAGTCACTACTTCATTGTCTTATAACCTGACATTTCTGATGTTTATATGTAATCATTTTTCTGCTTCTTGTTCTAAAATTTTACCATTAAGTGCCTTGGTGAGGGTGTATATATTTTCATTGGCTTTGTGCATATGCCAAGCCATCTTGATAACAGACTCCTTTCCTTCAGTTCTGGGAAATTCTTGTATTATTTATTTAAAAATTGCTACTTTTCCCCCTGTGGTTTCTAGAATTCCTGCATTATTTATCTTTTTCTTACCTTTTGCTTCTTTTTTTCATAAGTTATTACTTTTTTAAT